TGAAAATTTGTCAAAACATTTATATAATGAAAAATGGCAGTTTAAATGTCTAATGATACATAAATCTTCATTTAAAGGGTGGCCCGAAAGTCAGTTAATCACACTAAAAGACTAAATTTCTCTTTTTGAATTACTCTTTAAAAAAATCTACACAGCTTTTTCCAACCAGATTATTTATTTATTTATAACTCTAATAAATTTATTTTGCTTATATAAAACTTATACATAAATAAATAATAAGCTAAAAATTCTTATTTAAATAATAAACGACATTTCTATTATTATTTAAAATACTTTTGAATGGCCAAAACTTTAGTATTAAGGTTATTAAATGTAAAGTTAAACCTCTGAACGGCGGCCACTGAAGAGAACATAAAATAATGGCCGTTGTTCGCAGGTGGGATGAAAATTGTATAGTTTATAAATAACTTGTATAATACAATGTATATATTATTATATTCTGTGCTTTGTTTTTTAGGGGAGTGGCCGTTGTTAGGAGGTTAAGTTACTGGAAATTACAGTTTGAACTACGTAATAGCGAGGTTGCGGCCGAAGTTTTCATCTGTAAAACGTGAACGTCGAACGTCGAACGTCGAGCGGCGCTTACAAGATAGTGGCTCTCGACGTTCGACGTTCACGTTTTACAGATGAAAACTTCGGCCGCAACCTCGCTATTATCGCGCTGAGAGGGGCGAAAACGTGTATTATTTTAACAGTAGATAATTTATATCAGTCCTAAAACGAATATAAATAAACTTTAAAGTATAAATATTTAAATTGTTTGATAATTCTAAGTTTTAAATGAACTCTCTCTCTCTCTTTCTGTTGAAAGACCATTAGCATCACTCAAGAAGTAATGACTTTCTATTCGTTATGCATCCCTTTATACTTAATTTATGTTTATGAGAAATCCCACAAGTTAAATTATGATAAATTGAAGGCAGTAAATTAATGAATTATTATTGTGTTGTACACAAGATAAGTAAGTAAATATCCTTGACAGAACTCGAGTATAATGGATCCTTGAATCCATTAAGTATCCATTATACTGGAGTTCTGTTATAGTTTGAAGTGTAAGTTAATTTTCTTGAACTTTGAAATTTGCAATTGTATGGTGTAATGTCTAGAAATATGAATATAAAATGAATTGTTTTTATTAAATTAATTTTAATTTTAATCCGATAATGGATATGAAAGAGAAACTTGTCATTGATGGGAGAAGAATGTTTATATTGCGCCTTTAATTGCAGATGTATTTTACGTTAAAAATATCTGCCGTAATCCAACATTTTGCATAATCCGGAACCACTGGTCCTTTGGGTGGGTGCCATATTAACAAACTTCTACTGCAACATAATTTGTGCCCACCAGTGGTTGAATGGATTAAACCATCGAACATTGTTAGTTGATCTTTGAGCCTGACCAACGTTTTCCATGTTTTCTTCACGTTAATAACACCTAAATAGGGATTAATTTCCCATAAAACAACTCCCGAGTGGCATTCCCTTAATCAGATTGCCCATGTCGTGTTGCCAAAATCAATCTAATGAAAGAGTGGTAATTATTCAATAACATAACACTTAAGATTTCCATAATATAACTTTTTAATAAATTATTTTGGGTTTTTTTTTACAATAAAATAACTGTGGAATGATCATAACAAATAAAGCAATGCGTTAATATGATCCAAATGAAAATCGTCGAGGCAGAAATGTATTATGACAATGCATTTAATCAATAGATCAACTGAAGGTTACTTTATAAGAGGGTCAATAAATCTACATTTTAGTTAATAAGACCATTGTTTTTATCACCTATTCCAACCCGACCTCACAAATCTCTCACTCCCTCAAGAGCCCGAATAACTCCGGACACACGCAGCTAGTAGATAATAAAATAAAAGATTGCTAACCTCATAAAACTACTATTTAATGAACAATAATAAATGGCGGAAAAAGAAGATCAAATAAACTTGGACAATACATTTATAGAAGACCTTAAATCTCTTGGCATTTTATTGGAATAAAGTAGAACAGATTACAGTTTTGTAATGTTTATTTACAGCTGTCTTAATATTAATCTTATTCCTTTTGCAACTGAGCAAAGAGTAACACGTGTTCTTCAGAGGGTTTCACTTCATTCCAATCGATACCAAGACGTTTCCTTCTATAAATATATTCTGCTAAGTTTTCTTTGTTCTTCCTTTCTTGATGTCAGTTTAATTGCAGTTTTGGGAGTGACAATTTTTCATTCTTAAGGTACTGTAATTCCTAATCTTACATGACAAAGTTATTAAATAGGTTATACTTGAATCTCTTTTATACATAATTTAATAGCTGATTGTTTTTAATGTAAATCCACTTTACTGAGTCTGAAATTCTTCATTATTTTCAGAATTATAACTTTTTTTTGGTCCTTTTACCACGCACCAAGAGGGCTTTCTTTCCATAACAGTTATGGGTTTGGCCAGGCCCACAATGGAGATGACCAGGTGAATGGTATGACATATTCAGGACAGATCACCCATAAAAAATTCATTGAGTTTTCTTTCTTGATAATTATTTTGGTTATTTGTATATTAAAATTTTCAAGTAGAGAAATAACTCTACTGTTTAAAGATTTAAGTACATTAGTTTGAATAAACAGCACTTTCAAACACAGATAACCTGCAGGTTATCTTCAGGAAATTACAAAGTTTCATTCAACTTACCAAACTTACCATAATACATAAATTATTTAGGCTACTAAAATGTAGTCAAGATGAAATTAATCATCATTAAAGATAATTTTGAAAGAGAATAATCTTTCAAAGACAGTTGATTACATGTTTATAATAGAATTCACATTATACAAAGATCCATTTAAATTAATTTCTATAAAGATGTGGATAAGCATAAAGATGCTGATATATAAAAAAAGAATATTTTTTGCATATTTTTATATTATATTTGAAGTACTTTTTAAATTTAAATTTGTATTTAATTCCTTTTTTAATTTTACTTTATTACACTACAAAGCTGGCCAAATGCAGTTATACTTCTATTGTCAAATGGTCCTTCTGATACCTCCTGTCTGGAGATGCCGAGAAGACAATCAGGGCCTTAGACACAGAAGGCCTCAAAATATAATCTTTTATGATACCAAACAAATTCAAATTAACATTCTAATGACTGGTCAGGCCCATCTCAACATCTGCATTCTAAACTTCAAATATCTATTCTAAAATCATATTATCAAACTATTTATTATTATTTTCCTGTGAATTACCCCGTTCTGCTATTATTTTTCCTCTATATCTACTCACTTTCTACTTTTTTTAATCAGAAAAGAGCGAATCTGTCGATAGTAAAATTAAGCAAATATTTGTCTTGTAAACTCACGTTTTACATTATTATTTATTATTATTTTCCTGTGAATTACTCTGTAGAAATCGATGTAATCTGATAATGTGAAAACTTCAGGAGCATAATTGTTACATCGTGCCAAAAATTTCCGTGTTCTTCGGCTTTCTAACGATAAAAAGCGCTATTGTATGCAGATTTACGAGGGGAAAACCGACTCCTGAATTATAAATCGTGCTTTTACTACGACCTTGAATGCTTTAAGTGGGCGTAGAAAGTAAATAATCCTAAGAAAGGATATAAAAATGAGTTTTCCTTGACTAATTCGCACTAGAAACTAAAGGAGTAACCGCTGCAGCCAACGCTTTAAACTCGAATTTAACTCTTCGGTAGACGATTAATGCCTTAATTCATTAAATTTTATAGTTTAATGCCCGCTTACTTCATAAAAAAATGGGTTATAAAAGTAAAATACTTTCGAATTTTAACACGAAAGATGTATGGTTGAATAGATTTATATCATTGAACCGCCATTAATCTTGATTAGTAAACTAGAAGAAGGGGGGAAAAAACTAGTTTGTATCGTTAGCGCTCGGGGTTTTAATACATAAAGATCCGCCCGTATCAAAAATAATTTCATAGATATGCCCCGTATAATGGCATTCCGACGTTAGTATGCCCCAAGGTAGGGCATAGCCTGGCAGGAAGTCGATTATCAACCGTTTCTTTGTCGAAGGTACAATAGTCAGGAAGTGTTGATTGTAGCGCGCGCGGTCACTTTCGGGTCAACGATGCAACCTTCGATAATTTTATGCAATTATGCTACTTTCGAGCATTTTTTTTAAATATAAATTTGTATGACATTTACTTCGTTCCTTTGGTGCTTTTTAACATCAATTACGATGCACCCTTATTATACACGAGTTCACCAGGTAAAGTAGTAGAGGAGAAGGTGGTATTATGGAACCACTCCATTTCGAACTGTAGCGGATTGTGGCCGAACTGAACTAGGCAGAGGCATCCATAGAAAGGGGAAAACCCTTAGCATTTTTGTGTTTTTGAAATTCGAAAGTTTTGAATGCTAAGTGAATTTAATTATTTTTAAAATATAAATCGTGTAGTTGTAGGTTCACTGGTGCATGTATTCTGTTCCAGAGACTTAGGGGTACATATTAATCTGTGATATTCACGCGTNTATTCTAAATTTTAAGAACTTTTTTTTCTTTTTTTTTAAATCTAATATTTTAATCAGAGAACCATTTACACATGCTGCAGCTTAGAGCCTGGCTTTTATCAGTCTATAGTTTAGGGCCTCACATTTTTTACATGTATTATTTAGTAGAGGAAAAGGTCCTTTGTCATAGCTTAGGCCATAATAACTTTTAACTCCAGCCCCAAATTATAATATAGCTACGTGCGTCGGTGTTATTCGGGTCTTTGAGGAGGTGAAGATGGGTTAATTTCGTGCTAGGTGGCCCAAAATTCGGTTAACCTAGATATTGTTAAAATATACCTGTCGGTTAACTTACTTTTGGGCCACCCTTTTACAGTTTATTAAAGATTTAGTCACTTTTACTTGTTTTTCTTAAAATTTAATGGTATAAAAATGGGAATTTTAAGATTAAACATGTAAATATTTTTAAAAAAAGCTAAACTTACCGCATCATCAGCAACAGTTTTTTTGAAAAGTAAAAACAAGCACAAGTACAGAATGATTTTCTTCATTGTCTTAATATTCTTCCCTGTAAATTTAACAGAATAAATTTATTATGAATTAATTAATAAGAAAGTAATTTTAAAAAATTTAAAAAATAAATGTTACATCCCTTACCAATTGAGAAAACTATACAATTAAAGCTAACACAAGATGCTATCATTATTATAGTTGCCATTGTCCAGTGAAAAGAGAGAATGAAATGACGTCAAAAAAGATATCCCTCCTCTTCTCTCTCTTATAACATTTATAGAAAAAAAAAAGTCATTCGATTATATTGTGAATTGTGTTTTAAATCGAATAAAAGATCTATTGTTTAAAGAAATAATATATTTAATATTCTTTATATTTATATTGCCCTTTACAGAATAATAAAATGAAAATAGAAATGTAAATAATTAAAATAACTTTACAAAAGTTCCAATAGGGAGTTGCTTAACTTTCCCAGCAAGAGTTAGTGCCTCCATCTATTACCAGATTTTATTTTATGATGTCTTTGTATTATTAATTATTATAAAATAGCAAAAAAGTATAATTTTGGGAATGGAAATGAGTTTTTAAAACTATTATAAATGCTAATAACCGAGAAAAGCCTTCATAAAATCCGACACCACTGAAGATATGACACACCATCAACCCCCCTCGACATTTAATCAGCAAAGTTTAATAGTATCAATACATCTTATATACGAGTTATCATGCCAAATTTTGTGTCTTAATCATTACTCCATTTTGAGATATTAACATATATTCACACATCTATGTCCACTGAATTCATCATCTCTTTTACTTTTTGGGTTTAGGAAGTCACAAAACGTGGAGATTTTCAAGAAAATCAGCAAAATAAACAGACAAGAATATATGAAAACATTTGTTGTTATTTGTTTCATTAAGTAAATTTTAATTTTTTTTTGTAGTTATGGGTAGCTCTTGTAATCCTCCCTTTGGATGGAACCATATTTGTGACTGCTCGAAAGGCTATTGTTATCTCCGAAGCTGTGAAACGGTAGTAAGTTAGTACCAGTTTGTATTATTCTTTTATTATAATTGTTACTTTTTACCGTTACTTTATGTAATTTCTGATAAGTAACACGAGAACGTCCAAGATGGTAAAGGTATTGTCGTACTTTCATTCTGTTGTGTTTGTTTGTTTTGTTAAGTTATGGCAACGTAACACTTGGGCGATCTGCCTAGTGGGATGCCTTCCGGGAGGTGTTTTTAAGGGTAATTGGCTCCTATTCAGGCGTTACAGACGTGGAGAAAACCCGGAAAATTTTCACTTGGCCCGTCCTGGCGAGGTACGAAACTACGACCGAACTTCCAGTCAGAGCCGGCCCTACCATAGGGCGAAATGAGCAGCCACTCCAGGCGCTAAGTCCTAGGGGGCGCCTCAGTGGTAAAGAAAATTAAAGGAAAAAATATTTTTTTCACTTTTCGATATTTTAATTGCAAGCGTGTGGCCAGTATATGAATGGCCTTATCTGTTGAGACGCGCATGGGCGGGGTTCCACCCCCGCCNATTTTAGAGAAAAAAATTTAAGGGGCATTTCAAAGACTTGCATCACACTGAGGAAATCTACGGCACGGCCCTGCTTGCATGCATCACTGGTATAAATTAAGGGCAACCAAGGGGGGCGCCATAATAGGATCTCGCTCCATCCTAAAACTTACCTCGGGCCGGCACTGCTTCCAGTGTTCAGGGAACGAAACTGCTTGGCCACTAGAGGAACGTCATCCTGTTGTCAGGACCTGACCTGAATTCGGGTAAGGGTCTGTTTTCAAATAGGAATATTTCAGATCAGCTGAGTATTCCTATTATCCTGTTATAGGTTTAGTCAAACCATGACAATTATGAAAAAATCTCTCTTTCTCCCGCAAGACAAAAATTCGAAAAAGAAAAGAAAAGTAGTAAAAGTTATGTCTGATATATTACAAGTAATAAAAAGAATTAAAAGGAAAAAATAATTAACAATGTTACGTAACGCGATACTTCCAATAAAAGTAACAATATAAATTAAACTTTTGAAGAAATGATTTCTCTCAAATGTCCTTTTTTCATTATTATTTTCCTGGCTTTTGTGTATATAACAGAACAATATTGGAATCGTGTCAAATTTGACCTTCCAGTTTTATGCTTATATCTACCCTAAAAATTAAGCTTTTTTATAATAATTAATAAGATAAAAGTTATTTTTAATAACATCTTGTAACAGATGGCATCACGTACAATTTTTTTTTTTTTAATTTTGAGCTAGTGTCAGCGTTTTTATTCGTCGGAAAATTTATACAACACGCTTTTGCTAGGGTATTTTTTTTTAAATGATAATTAAATTAATATTTTGTTCAAATACCTTCATTCAATAAAATATAATTTTTATCCTCTACAATTAATTTCCCTATTATCAATAAATTTCACTATTATACAATTATATGCCGACATGGGGGTAAACAAAACATTTTCTGGTGGGACAAGGCTTGGAAATAGATTATAGAATGCCTTGAGCAAAAGTGGCAATTGCCTTGACCCCCAAAACCAGTCTTTTATAAGAAAATATTTCCACAAAAATAATTCTCCCGAAGAAAAATGTCTGAAGTGAACACTGTACGTGGGGGCCTGTTAATTCAAATTTATCTGATCCCCATGAAGCTATAACGCGCCCACTGACTCTTCTGTGGATGCCCATGTACAGTACAGTACAAGACGTTGAACGTCTGTTAATGACAAATCCCATTTTCCCTAAATATAATTGACACCATCCCTAAGTATTACGAATGGTACCATTGATAATGGATGCCATTTTTCATAATTCAGAATGATGTCAGTCATAAGTTGCGAGATGTTGCATTGTATGGATATTCATTTTTCAAAATACATGTCAGTTAATTGACTTTTGGGCTATCCTGTATAATAGTTCATTTTCTTGGGGTCGCCAACTTATACGGTAAACTAAAAAAAATATTCACTATCCATCAGGGATTCAGCCAAGCCTATAACAAGGTGGTCGAGGGACGAGAATTCATTAATTATTCTGTAATTAATTGTCCCTAATTATTTATTTTATAAGAAATTAGATAAAATTTAAGGAAGAATAGTGAGCAATTAATTAATGCGTGTTATCAATTTATTACAAGCTGCATCATCATCAATAATTGCGCCCATTACGATTGGGTCTTACCCTCAATGGGGTAAACTAGCTTAAGTGAGAGATAATATGAATGAGCCTGTCCCTTATTATTAATTTTAAATGAGTGCTATAGATCCCATGAAAATTGGTGTTATGGAGTAGGCTGACAAGTAAGAGTTTTAGATTAAACTAACACATTTAAAATATAATAAACAATTTATAAATTAAATTTTATAAAAAAAAAGCGAGTCTTTATACTTCGCAAGTCACTGAACTTGTGAGAATTAGAATAGCTCGCTTTACGACAGTTTTTCGTTGTCAAATATAGTATTTTAGCTATTGTATCACATAAAGAAGACTTATAATATGCCATTTTATAGTCATAATATCTAAAATCTATGTATGTCGTAAAGCGGGAGTCTGTTGTATATATTGTAATCATGATCCCCTTGATCACGATTACAATAAGGTAGACAATGCATGCCCTATAAAAGACAATAAAAATATTTTTTTATTCAATTTTCATAGCATAATTCACCTGAATTTCTGTTCTAATATACCTGTCCGGGCGATACCTTTCTTGGAAGATCGCTCTTATTTCATGAATCCAATCCTTTCTTCTAAATGTCTTCCATTTTCTACATGAATTTTTTAAAATTAACAAAGTAAATTAAAAATATAATTTAATCATATTTGTAGAATGGTAACATTTTATAGTTAATAATTAATTATTACAAAAAACAAAATGGGAATATTTCCAGTTTTATTCTTTTTTTATATTCAAAATTGGATAATTTAATCTAGAAGTAAGTTTAAAATTAATAATTAAAGAAGAAACAGGATCGATTTTAAACCTATTGTGCCATTGTTTCCTAACCTATTCGATCTCTTCTCTGTCTCACTTCTCTTCTCTCTGTCTCTCTTCACTTCTCCCTCTCTTCACTTCTCACTTCTCTCTCTTTTCACCTCACTCTCTCTCTCCTCTCTCTCACTTCTCACTCCTCTCTCCTCACTTCTCACTTCTCTCACTTCTCTCTCATCTCTCTCTCACTTCCCTCTCATTTCTCTTTCACTTCTCTCTCATCTCTCCCTTCTCTCTCACTTCTCTCCCTTCTCTCTCACTTCCCTCTCACTTCTCTTTCACTTCTCTCTCATCTCTCCCTTCTCTCTCACTTCTCTCCCTTCTCTCTCACTTCTCTCCCTTCTCTCTNCATGAATCCAATCCTTTCTTCTAAATGTCTTCCATTTTCTACATGAATTTTTTAAAATTAACAAAGTAAATTAAAAATATAATTTAATCATATTTGTAGAATGGTAACATTTTATAGTTAATAATTAATTATTACAAAAAACAAAATGGGAATATTTCCAGTTTTATTCTTTTTTTATATTCAAAATTGGATAATTTAATCTAGAAGTAAGTTTAAAATTAATAATTAAAGAAGAAACAGGATCGATTTTAAACCTATTGTGCCATTGTTTCCTAACCTATTCGATCTCTTCTCTGTCTCACTTCTCTTCTCTCTGTCTCTCTTCACTTCTCCCTCTCTTCACTTCTCACTTCTCTCTCTTTTCACCTCACTCTCTCTCTCCTCTCTCTCACTTCTCACTCCACTCTCCTCACTTCTCACTTCTCTCTCATCTCTCCCTTCTCTCTCACTTCTCTCTTAATTCTCTCTCCCATCTCTCCCTCCTCTCTCACTTCTCTCTCATTTCTCTTTCCCATCTCTCCTTCCTCTCTCACTTCTCTCTCACCTCTCTCACTTATCTCTCCCATCTCTTTCTCGTCTCTCACTTCTCTCTCACTTCTCTTCCTTCTCTCACTTCTCTATTTCTTCTCTCTCTCCTTTCTCCCTTCTCTCTTTTCTTCTCTCGAACTATGACATTTTATGCACTATTATTATTTAAAAGAATCAAATTTTCAGTCTAGAAAGGAATATAAAATTGATTTTTTTGCTCTCAGAAAACATAAAAAGAGATACACAAATAAATAAACAAGGGAGAAGATGATTGATTAAGATGTATACAATATAAGTGATTGTTTCCCAACTAGTGGATCGCAGATAATGATTTTTTAATAGTTCAAGTATTTTGAAAAAAAAAATTATATTTTACAAAAGAATAAAAATAGAAAAACTAATGTTTTATAATTACAAAATATTTTAAAATATCATACAAATAAATAAATAAATAAAATTAGTTGATTTCAGACTACTTTATAAGTCAATGTTTCGTGACTCGTTTATTAAGATATTTCTGCATAAAAATTAGAAAAAAAATCACTTAATTGATCTTTTATATTCATTTTCAGACAGAAACTTCATTTTTTTTTTAAACACCCGAAGCCCATTAAATTAATCAGTATGTGTAGTTTGCACGCTTATGGTTGAGAAACGAACACTTATGCTAGGCAATCTATCATCATTTTTTGTTTAACATTATTAAAATAAATAAGTAAATAAATACTTCGTAATTATAAAAATGTATTAATTAATCTTATTTAATCAGAAAAGTATTCATTTTTCGATAATTTTTTAACAAGAAAGATGATCGATTGTCTAGCATCTGCCAATGAGTTTCTCAACAAGTAGATCGCGAACTATATCGAGTAGATTATTTTTTAGGAATGATAATGGCATCTTTCATAAGTAATAATTGATGTACAGCACAAGGAAACTGAAATATAAACTTTTATTGACAGGAAAACTTCAATTTATCTGTAATTCACTTATAAATTGATTATGGAATTTTGTAGACACCATAGGCATTAAGTATGAGATAATGGATAAAAGATGAAGGAGAGGAGGCCCTGATTCCTGTCTCTCTTATCCATCTAGAGCACGGGTTCCCAACCTATGGGTCGCGACCCACAAGGGGGTCGCGACGGGTTTTCTTGGGGTCGCCAACTTATACGGTAAACTAAAAAAA